TCTTTCTTTCTTTCGTTCTGTCTTTCTTTCTTTCTTTTCTTTTCTTTTCTTTATTTTCTTTCTTTTCTTTTATTTTCTTTTCTTTTATTTTCTTTCTTTCTTTCTTTCTTTCTTTCTTTCTTACTCCCCATCTTTCAGTATTCCATTCTTTCGTTGCTTCTTTATTACTTTCTTTATTCCTTTCTTTCTTCGTGCCCTGCTTTCTTCCTTCCTTTCTTTTCTTTCTTGTTTTTTCTCTTTCTTGCGTTCCTCTCTCTCTCTCTATCCTCTTTCTACTGGATCAAACTATACAGCAATCTCTCTATCCATCTATCTACCTATCTATCTATCTATCTACCTACCTATCTATCCATCCATCTATCTGTCTATCTGACCTTGCAAAAGTTCGCGGAGGCTTGCCTTGCCTTGTCTATATAGATATAATGTTTACCATGTTACATGCATATATACAATCAAACTCATGCATGCATTGTGTAAATGCGTTGTATCAATGACGTGGTCATCATGATAAACATGTATATATATATATATATGGTGTATATATATATATATGTATATATGGAATGTGCAATATGTACATATGTACATATGTATATGGTCACACACACCGCATGAACTACCTCTGTTGCTCTGCCTCAACACGAAGTGTAATGTTTATCTACTTCTTTATTTACGCGGAACACCATTCACCCCCACCCAGCCACCGGCGCCTGCTTCACCGCCTCCAGGCGCTGCTCCAAGTCCAAGTCCTCCAGCCACGGCACCTCGCGCCCGAAGGCGAAAGGCGCCCCGTCCCACGCGAAGCTCCAAGCGCCCGGGGCGGTGGGGCGGTGGGGCTTGGTAGTTGTTTGCGTTTCTTTACGGGAAAACCGGGGTGGGGCTGCTTTGCGCTTCGTGGGTCCGTGCTTCGTGCTTTTTGCTGGGCCTGTGCTTATTTAAAAACCCAAATCCTGGGTCTGTGGCGCGGGCTGCGCACGAAATGGGGGCGTTTTGGGGCTATGGATTCCTTCGGCCAACTTTGCGCTGCGCTTTGGGCTGAGATATGGGTGGCTCCTCCTTCGAGGCGCAGACTCGATGCCGGGATGGTGTTACAGGGAAACCAAAAAAACCCAACCCAATACTGGCCCGACCCCAAGAGTCGAAATCCAAGGGGAAGTCAGTCCGGTGCGATGAAGGTCACAGCAAATCCAGTTGTTCAATGCCGCAAAGCTACGAGCCTATAGAGGTGTATCATTCGATGACAGAAAGACAGACAAGAAGCATCTAATATGTTTCTTGGTCACAGTCTTTTCTCAGCACTAACTGTTTCTGCACGACTTGCAAAATGCTGAGATGTCATGATTGCAACGAAGGGACACACAAATTGACTCGCCAAAAGCCGGGTGATGAGTAAACTGAATGGAGCTGGATTGGTGGGTAATGCTAATTACACGAACAGCATTCAAGAGGCTACCAATGGCTTTCCTAGGGAAGACTTCTGCGGGTAAAGCTGAAAGATGGTCGACCTTTATTACTCCTCATGTTCAGGTCCAAGAGACGACCGTCTGCCATCCGTTTCCGGCTGCATTCACTCGCGAGTCCGGGTTTTCGGATGGTTCATTTTCCCTCTGTCACTTTCTGTTTTCAGCCCTTGGGATCTCAACAGTGGCTGATTCTGGCCAAATACGATAATTCTATGGAATCACAGAGAATTCAGCAGTCTTCTCCGAGTCTTCTCAGCTGATAAAGTCAAACATGAGCGATAGCAGCGTCCACTTTGAGATAATGCGACATGCTTTGCGGGGAGTATTTTTACCCTTCTCGACCATGTGCAACCAACGCGGCCTTGGAATGGAGGAACCCCCCCATTCCAGACAGTAAAACAATCTGGCTGTGGCAAATGGGTATTGAACTTTAATTGCGCACTGGACATCAATTGCAGGGAACGTTGTGTCTGGCTGTTGTCATCAAATCCATACCCAAACTGGGTTGACAAGGGCGACCAAAGGACACCCACCATTGTTGGGTCCCCCGATTACACACGATGGGAACCCCTGGTTGTTGATTAACGGGGGGAGCACCTCCCCATTTAGTGGGGGTGCGTCACTTTTGGAGGGAACACCCCTGCTATCGATAGGACAGGTTTATTCATGGGGGGTCTACATTGCCCGAATGGATCTGACTTTGCTTCGCACGGGCAACGTCTGGCCTTCAGCGCGGGCATCAAAGCATCCAGCTCCTCTGAAATCTGTCAGGCTACGGGAAACACAGCGTCGGGAGTTTCTCGAAACGAGTCTGGATTTCAAGGAAGACCAGAAGGAAGCCCTTACCTCTATTTGGAGAAACCCCGGTGATAGTTGCCCCGGATTATTTGGCAATGTGACAACTGCATGACAAACGGCAAGCTATTGAACGCAACGTGGTAGCACATAACTTCGTTGGCGTTGTGCTCAGGGAAAGACAGAAGGAAACCGAAGAGAAACCTACGGCCCACAGTAAACCGCCTTTTCGTGGTCCCTTATTTTGAGACAAACCCAGAATATGCAGCCTCATGCTGCCACCACATGAACCGAACCACACCCGGCTCCTGCTCGGTCAGGCTATCTAACCTGCGAAACGTTGGGAGGGTCAACAAAGCGCGGCTTGCGTCACCTGGTGATTTGTGCCAAGAAGCAAAAACACGTTTCTAGCTCTTACAGTGGCAGGTCTTAGACATATCGCCTCCATAATGTGGGGAACAGAAAACAAACTGGGATCTTGGGTTTGCAAAGATGAATCTCAGTTAGGATATGCAACTGCTTGCAGCAGGGCCGTGCCCTCCAAAGACTAAACATTATGAAGAGGGGATTCCCTTTGTATCACAGAAGCGTCCCCTCTCAGAGGAAACTCTATTTAGACCAACCTGCCTCCCGCCCCAGTCTTCGAAGTTTCAGGCCACACTCCTCAAAGTTTGCTCTGTGGAAGGAGGCGCTTTATCACGTCCAAGGGATATCGGACCAATCACCGGTAAAAACGCTCGCTGCCTTCAGCGAATTCCTACAATCATTGCATTGAACACCCTTTCTAGTGTGTTCTGAACCACCAGCCTACTCTCTGGTGGCTCCAAAAACGGTGTGGGCAGCTCTGCACACAACACCAGTTCAATAGAAGATGCGGGAAACCTCCAAATGAGCGCTCAAATGACCCTTGGAAGAAGCCTTAGCACCTATTCCCGGGATTCTGGCGAAAGCCCACACCTCCCCCTCAAAAGGTGTCGGGTGAGTCTCATAGACTTAGAGAACACCCTTCATGAGGAAGCGTACCTCCGCCAAGCGAACAACTGGGCTTGGGGAGCTTCGTTCGCCTGTGAAACTTCATCTCTCTCAACACAAATGATTGTCAATCACTGCTGAATCGGTTACGTCCAAGACACGATTCTGAAGTGGGGCCTGACAACTTGGAATCTGGAAGTGCAGTGGATATTTGCTGGAAAGGGAAGGGCAAAGCCACCAAGCAAGCTGCGCGCACACGCGCACGCACAATCTCACTCTCTCACACACACACAAACACATGTTTGGAAAAACGGCCGGACAGTTGCTGCCAGGTCCTGCAAACCAATGGATAGCAACTTCACACTCCTTCATCAGTTGTCCTTCCAGAAACGGACGGCGCATCTAAAGCTTGCAGGAAGAGAAGGGTATGCTTGACCCGGGGCGTCACCCGATCATTGAGGTTTGTTTGATTCATCCGTGGGCGCACAGCAAACGTTTAACAAATGGAACCCTGTGTCAGCTCAGTGCACGATGCCCCTGATCCCCCCCAGATGCCTTGCTCCCCTCTCTGCTGCCTGGCTTGAGACGTCGAATTCAGGACATTGGGCCATGTGGCTATGAATCTTAATGGGGAGCGACCTTAAACGTGGACATGAAAACCCACGTCAATGATGTCCAAAGTGTCCTCTTTTTCAGTCCACACCCATGTGCAGCTGCTTGCTTGACTTCAACTGCCTGCCTTTGAACTGCGTCTTGTACTGCGCATGACAGATGTCAAGCCCTTTCAGGCCTGACTGCAACGTTGATTCCTGACCCGTAAAGATGACACATACAGATGGCGGATTAAACGATGAGACCCGAATGCTGACCTCTCACCTAACACGATATATCCGACGCCAACGGCTGCCACTAAAATGGTCCTCTGTCAAAATAGGGGGACCCCCAACAAGGTGTTTTTCCTTTTAGTCTACCCCAAAAACCACCCAAACAAGCACACTCCCGAATGGTCATCCCGAAAGGTAAGTCCAACTCAGGAAGTGAGCTGTGGTTGTTGTTTTTTGGGCAGTGCAGGAACATCCCTCGCTCATCGCTCAGTCCCTTAGACCTCGAAACAGCTTTACATATTGCAACTGATACTCAGAACATTGAAAATGGAAAGCCAGATCTTTCGTGTTAGACATGCGAGATTCTCTAAGGACTAGCAGGATAAGTGCCACATGCCCACGCGCCTTTTTCTTCAGCTGGGCTGGCTTCCGACGATTGTATATATATATATATATGTATACTTCTTTCGTCTCTAGCGATTCTGGACATCCTCATGTGAGTCACAATCAAAACCGCTGCTAACGGGGTCGACCAAAAAGGACGGCCGCAACTATGTGTGGTTGGGACTATCCCTACTGACCTTGGTCTGCCCAGGTGTTGTTTGTGGCTCATGCGCGACTTGAAGGGACGCTGTCTGGAGGGCAAGAAAACAATTGGAGAAGGCCCCGTTCTGTGTGAGGGGTTCGCCTGAAATCTGCCAGAGTCAGGTTCCTTTGGTTTTTGAGGTGAAGGCTCCCATTTGATCTGCTGAGTGTGCCCTGGATTTCCATTAGTGACACCAATGGACAGGCAGAGGGGGGAGAGAGCCAGGCAACATGAGTGCCCAGCCCTCTCCACGGTCGGCTTCGTTTCTGCTCGTTGTTGAGCAAAGGTAGCCGTGCATGATATCAAGCACAAGCACATGTTTCGTCCACAAACTGCTGCACAAATCCAAATCGAGCGCACTCAGGCCAATTCTGTAGGCACGTCCTGGGCGCAAGCAGCAAAAAGCCCGGGACGGACCAACCTATATTGGGATTGCAATAATTACTCATAGCCGCCTCAGAGTCCCACTTACACTTGCTTGCCTCTTTCTCTCCTCTGGGAGGCTAGTACTTGTGGGCGGACGCATTTGACATATTCCCTACATAGAAAGTATTCTCATTCTTCTCCAATTGCATCATGCATTCATAAACCCCATCGGAATTTCTAGAGGATCCTTTGGGGAACCGGCGCTCGATGTCCGGCGCTCGATCCATTCCGTCGGCTCCAAGGCCCATCCCGCCTCTTTACGCTGCGCGTCGGCCAGCGCCTACGCCATGGATGGATCGCTTGTGCTGACCTCCGAAATCCCAGAACTTATGACCATTTGGGTATGGGTCAAAATGAAACCACCAGGAATTGGACCGCAGGTTTTAGTCCATGTTACCACTTACAGGCTTCAATTTTGGGTACCTAGCATTGACTTATAGCCATTTGCCTTGCCGGTGCGATAGGTAATGAGGGAATCAACCCAGAGGTCCCCTTAAAGGAAACCAGCAGTTCGATAGTTGGATGGTTTATGGGGGTCATTCCCTCATTCCCTGCCTGTCGCACCGGCAAGTTGTAGCTGGCAAAAACAACGAATGAAGGAAGCACTGGGCCGCTCTTTTGTGGAAAAGCCCCTGGATGTGTGAGGCTCAAGTGCCACTGGCAAACCGCACGCAGGGATTCAAGGTTTGGACCGACTTTGAGCAGGCGGTTAATTCTGTGGAGGGACGAAGTCCGGCGCCACTTGGAAGCCAGGGGAAACCATTGTTTATTGAAATTTACACCAGAATCATCATTCCAGGGATTCCTAGGTGGTGCGAAATGGACTTCGTCCATCAGTACTTGGAGAGGTTCAAAAGCGTACGGCCCAACCTCAGCCAGCAATTGCCTGACATGGTCGCGCAAGCCCGGGGAAAAAATAGTTATTCATTTATTTATTTATTTACTTATTTATGTACTTATTTATTTACTTATTTATTTACTTATTTATTTTTTTAAAAATGGCCATCATCCCACCAGAGCCCAGCGAGCGGTCTGAGGCGTCGGAGACATGGCCTCGGCCGTCTTTATGCTTTGGTGCGCCGACATCCAGACCACCAGCAAGCGCCGTGGGATGCAGCAAGACCTCACGGATGCGCGCGACCCGACCCGGCCCCCAAGACTCGCACAGAGGGTGGCAAGACTCGCACTCCGAGTCCGACTCATTGCTCTCTAAAAACAATGAGGCATCGCTGCGCGGCAAATGCTTGCAAGTCAAGCAACGGCTATGCCTTGACTCGTGAGGGATTGAAATCAGCCTCCAGCTTTACCAGCACTGACGCCAAGCTAGGCCTTGCAGCCCTCTGTAAAAAAATGGCTCCAGCGGAAAGCAAATGGGGGAAAGAGCGACACCTGGGCGATCATCGAGTTTGGGAGAGGAAGTTGACTGCTTGAGCAGCAGAGTTCTGCGACATCGATTTCATTCATCCCTCCTGCCATCTTAACCAGAATATACTAGAATCCACCAATACACATCGCGAGTTTCGAGCCCGTTTGGGTCAAACACGTCCTGACATTTTCCCCGAGCTTGGTGTCAAAAGCTAGCATGCCCCGGATTCTCTAGCCCTTGGCTGCAGGCGCACTGGACTCCTGGCACAGACCCCTTGTGCCGAGGTGCACTACGCATCCCACGATCGCTGCCAGCAGCGTGCTGTAGACGAGACTGAGCAAAGCGGAAACTCTGGAGGTTTCCAGCGAGTTAGGCCGCGCGTTCTGTGGCAAATGGCACATGCTGACACCTTAGGGGGATGAGCGATGCCAACCCCTAGGCAGGTGTATGCTCAATTTTCGATGAAGCCAGCAATTCGAACCATGGCGCTGTCAGGGCTACGCCCAGAGACAAAAGAAAGCATCCCAAGTGCTTTCAAACGCTCAAATGCAGGCTAGCAGGACACACATCTTCATCAAGTACCCTTCTGCCACACTGAACTGACTTTGAGGAACCCCTGTGGGCCGCTGAAACATCCGACCAACGTTTCGCGAGGCGCTTGACGTCCGCCGCCAGATCCTCGCAGATCAGCACACCGCCCTCGCGGCAGGAGGCAGCACCAGCCAGGAGGTCGCCGCCTACCTCAGGGTGCCCGCATTGAAAGAACAGGGTGCACAGATAGCTTGCTGGTTCTCAGGGAATCAGAGGCTTTGTCAGGGGCCTCTTCAGGTATGGGTTTTGGCGGTATGGAGCTTATCCACCACTTAGATACGGGGTATATACCGCCTTGCAAGCTTGTATTGCTGTGACCTACGCCGTCAGCCTAAGTGCGGTTTGTCTCATTATCTGCTTTATGCTTTCAGTACAATTCTTTTACGATTCACATTTATGATACGATGTCCGCAGTATGTATGACTTTTTCACATGTGTTTTTGAATTCAGCCCCCAGTCCTCCGAAGAACACAAAGTCCTCCCACCCCGAAGGCAGGGTATGCCGGAAATTGTGGCATCCCCAGCACCAGCGCATAGTTGGGCAGAGACCCCATCCCTTTCAGGTCTTCGTGTACGTACAAAAATACGTTGTTGTTTTGCGATGTGTTTTTTTTTTTTTTTTTTTACGACTTCAGCTAGATTTACGATTATTATTATTTTACGTTTTTGTACGACTTCCCGGGACTCGCCAATCACCTCTTCCGAGAACCCCAAGATAGATGTACCAAAGCCAAAATGTGCGACAGAAACGTGTGAATCCGGCGTAAAAACGCCTGCAGCCGGCGTAACAAAAACATAAATGCTAATCAGACCAAACTCATATCTGAATCGCAAAGCCAAAAAACACAAATACATGGCTTCCCTTGACTTAGCCTACACCGTAGCTCGTAATTATATTGGTGGTATGTAGGCATCCATACCTCCAAAATCCATACCTGGAAATGTTCCTGACTTTGGGTTGCTGGGAAGGAAACCACAAGAGCTGGTTCAGAAGGGTCATTCCCTCCTGCCGAGAAACAGCAACATAGCAGGGCAGGGAGCCTTGTTGCTTCTCTCTTTTGAAAGGGAACCGCAGCAAAGTCGATGTCTCAGCGTTCTGCGTAAACGGTTTCATTTCCCCCCCCCCCCCGCCGCCAGTCCTCTGCAAAACCCACAATGAGTGTCCAAAATATCTGACCGCGAATGCGACCAGTCCAGCAAGGATCCAAGGACTGCAAACAGCTTTGCTCTTGCCAACTTCCGGTTTGGTTCTGGCTCGCCTGACCTTTCAGCTCGGTCAAGGTAAAGGATTGTGCAGCGCGGTACGGAAATCTGTCTGGTTTGGTTTCACTATTGACCCTCAGTCACCAACGACCGTTCAACTTCCTACGGGCGTTTGTTCTTCGTTCACCTGCTGCCCTGCTCTTTGGTCGCCCGGTGCCAGCGGCCAGCGTGGGTTTTGAATGCTCAAGCCATTTCGACCGAATGTCAGAAGACTTCCGCCCAAGATCTTTGGGCCCCACAGCTTCCAATTCTTACCAGCTTTGTTGCAACCATACTGTGGATAGACGAAATCCACTTCGCACCACTTTGAAACCATGAGAAGACATTGTTTGTTGGTTTTTGCAGGGGAATCATCATTTCAAGGTGTCTTAGGTGGTGCAGGATTTTGTCCATCCACAGTATCACCCACTTCCCTGTATCTCTAAATGACATGCGACGAAACCCTTGGAGGCTCCCCTCCGATAAAGCCGCGTCCGCCTATGCGCGACCGGACTCCGGGGGACTCGACGACCCAAGGGGGAATCGTTGGCTCGCCGGCGAGAATCGCTTCACTGTTCACGTGGAGGGGGGCACACGGCGCGGTCACATAAGTATATATATATAATATATATATATATATAGACAAAATGTTATGTGCGTGGGCGTCGTGGGTGTTGGGTGCCTGCTCGAGTTCATTGTCTCGTCCATGCGCATACTTCAATATCGATACAATATACATAGAGAGAGAGAGAGAGAGGGAGAGCAAAGAGTTCTGACGTCAAACACTCCAAACCTTGCAGACAATGCATGAACAAGCTCGCAATGGAGCACGCAATCACGCAGTAGTAAACGCACCTGACAATGCTGCAGGGTTCTTTGCAATATATGTTGGGAGCTCAAGAATTCCGGCGATACCCAATTTCAAGCAGCACGTAAGTTAAGATGGAAGGACAAACCGGTTGCTCGGAATGTTTAGAAGAATTCTCAACAACAGAACATGGCAACGGTGCCTGCTGAGGCACGGGTCTGCTGACTCATTTTGGAGTGCTCATAGCTGTCTTGGTGTAGGGATGTTTGCGCGCGTACTGACTAACATCAGCTTTCTGCACAGAGCGTGTTGTGCTTCCCAAGTAAAAAGTAAGCTCGATGCCCATGGTGCGGGCGGAAGGAACAGCCGTGCGCGGACTACATGTGCCCATCCATCTATCCATTATCTATCTACCTATTTATCTTCTATCTACCTGTCTTTGTATCTAATCCATCCACCCACCCACCCACCCACCCACCCACCCACCCACCCACCCACCCACCCATCCATCCATCCATCCATCCATCCATCCATCCATCCATCCATCCATCCATCCATCCATCCATCAGTTCATCGATCCATCCATCGATCCATCCATCCATTCATCCATCCATCCATCCATCCCATCCATCCATCCCTCCCTCCATCCATCCATCCCTCCCTCCATCCATCCATCCATCCATCCCTCCCTCCCTCCCTCCATCCATCCATCCATCCATTTACCCACCCGCCCACCCACCCACCCACCATCCATCCATCCATCCATCCAGCCATCCATCCACCCACCCACCCACCCATGTTTATGCATCTATGCATCTATGCATCTATGTATCTATGCATCTATCCATCCATCCATCCATCCACCTAGATATTGATTCTCCATTGACATCTCCAAAGTTGTGTGTGGTGTACTGATGTCCATAGCTGGACGCATCTGCTCTGTACATATCAATCAGTGCATTCAGAAACGTCCGAGCCGCAAAGGCCCCGAGCTCCCGCAGCATGGCGCTGCAGTCCTGGTCGCTGCTCAGAAGCGGCGCGCCGCCGCAGCCCTCGGCCACGCCTGCGCTTTGGTAGGGGCCACCACTTCGGAAAGGGAGAGGAGAGAAATGAAAGGGCGCGCTCATTTGCGCATCTAAAAACAGAAGAGCGTCACCACAGAAACCTAAGTCATTTTGAGGTCCGACTATTGGGCTCTAACATTGGGCCAACAGAGCTGGGTCCCCAGGGCGGATGCATCTTGTGTGACCGAGGCCAACAATTTGCACCAAGCCAACAAATGAAAAAAAACAACTTGACAGCATCCCTAAACGAAGTGTCTTGGCATGTTCCTTCGCTCATTGCATACTCCCTCAAACTCCTGGCACGTCCCAATGTCCGCACCTATCTGGGCTAGGCTCACGGTGCCCATGATGAGGGTCATAATCACCAAAGCCAGGGACACCTCAGGACTGGCACAGAGCTCACTGGTGGCACACCTGTGCTAAGGAGTTGCCAACAAGAAACTCGAATTTCACACTGGCAAGAATTCGGAAGGTCAATTTCACCTGAAAGCAGAACTCGGCCATTGAGCAGATTGAATCTGATTGAGGAAGAACCCGGTTGCCTTTGCGGAGTGACTGCGTGGTAAAAGCAAAGGTGGCAGCCTCATGAAAGGCAATGTAAGTTGGTGAGATCCTCCGCTCCAGGGAGGAAACCCTGGACGCTCTCTGAAAGGTGAAAGGAAACAAAGGCAAAGCCCACCACGAGTCAACCCAAACAGCATGGAGACAGCCCTCTGCGGCCAGTGGGATCCCTGTTCTAGCCGTGTGTGTTCGCGTGCATGAGTGTGTGTGTGAGAGAGAGAGAGAGTTGGAGCGATGAAAATGAGAGAGTGTGTGAATGAGAGTGAGTGTGTGTTTGTGTGTAAAACAGTGTGAGAGAGCTGAGAATGAGAGTGAGTGTGTGAGTGTGAGAGTGCGTGAGAGTGCGTGAGAGTGCGTGAGAGTGCGTGAGAGTGCGTGAGAGTGCGTGAGAGTGCGTGAGAGTGCGTGAGAGTGTGTGTGTGTGAGAGAGTGCTGAGAATGAGAGAGTGGGTGAGTGTGAGAGTGCGTAAGAAAGAGAGAGAGAGAGAGCGAGAGAGTGTGTGTGTGTGCTGAGAATGAGATATTGTGTGAGTGTGAGAGTGCGTGAGAGTGTCTGTGTGTGCGTGTGTGTGTGTGTGAGTGTGTGAATACTCAGAATGAGATAGTGTGTTAGTGTGCGAGCGCGTAAGCGGTGCGTGTGTGTGTGTGTGAGGTGAGAGTGCTGAGAATGAGAGAGTGGGTGAGTGTGAGAGTGCGTGAGAGTGTCTGTGTGTGTGCGTGTGCGTGAGTGTGTGAGTGCTGAGAATGAGATAGTGTGTTAGTGCGTGCGTGCGTGCGTGCGTGCGTGCGTGTGTGTGTGTGTGTGTGTGAGGTGAGAGTGCTGAGAATGAGAGAGTGGGTGAGTGTGAGAGTGCGTGAGAGAGAGAGAGAGAGAGCGAGAGAGTGTGTGTGTGTGTCCTGAGAATGAGATATTGTATGAGTGTGAGAGTGCGTGAGGGTGTCTGTGTGTGCGTGTGCGTGAGTGTGTGAGTGCTGAGAATGAGACAGAAATAGTAAGGTATGGGTATGTGATGGGTATATATATAAGTATGTGTAGCAAGGTGGTGTGTGTGTGGAGGTGAGATAAGCTGTATCTATATATGGGTGAGTGAGTATGTGGAGTATATATATATATATTGTTTATATATGTGTGTGTGTGCTGAGAATGACATATTGTGTGAGTGTGGATGTTGAGAGTGTTCAGGTGGGCAGAAAGGGGAGGTGGAGGAGAAATGAGATAGTGTAGTGTACAGAGTATAAGGTATATGCATGTATGTGTGTGTGTGTGTGTGAGAGAGTGCTGAGAATGAGAGAGTGGGTGAGTGTGAGAGTGCGTAAGAAAGAGAGAGAGAGAGAGCGAGAGAGTGTGTGTGTGTGCTGAGAATGAGATATTGTGTGAGTGTGAGAGTGCGTGAGAGTGTCTGTGTGTGCGTGTG